CACTAGAAATTCACTATCAATGAAGTTAGTTTTCATGAAAACATGGATTTAAATAAAATCAGTGGCGAATGTTTTTCCTACAAAGGTAAAAACAGTAATGTTAAAAAGCTCTGTTCAGTAGAAATCGACCATTGATTTATCGCGAAAAATAAAAATACTAAAATCACAAATAAAAGCTACCAATAAAATAAACATTAGGAGTTAATTATCGAATTGTTTGCCAAGTACTTGAACAATTTCAGATGGTTGAGCGCTGCTAAACACTCTTATCGATTAATTATCAAAGTCATTGGCATTTACTTTGGAGCCCACATACACACACACATTCGGTAACATTTTCAATTTCCCGACAACAAAACAATTGAAAAGCCTATGAAAATGGCATGAAAAGAACGACAGTCCTTTGTCCCCTTGTCCCTGTTTTTTCCCAGTTTGTTCTATCATGAGTGCCAATTCATACACAGAAAAAAAAAAGTTCCTATATTTCTATGCTAAATATAACTATTAAATGTTTTACATAAATATAAACGTGGTTTGCTTATTATATTACTGCCCTAAAAATTAGAAATTAGTTAGTCTCCTCTTGCTCACCTTCAGTGGCATTCGTCACTACGTGGACGGCATTCCACAGTGATACTAACTATTTAAAGATTATTTTTCTGTGTAGGTATATGCCCGATGCGACTGCAAATGAAACTGAAACTGGAATATCTGCCGGATGTTTCATTGTTCCCAGGAAGTGCCACCATCCTGACAGATACCGCACATTTGCAAAAGTGTGTGTACGCATTTCATCTGGGTGAGGGGAGAGGGGTGAGGGGGAGAGGGGTACGTTCCATAATAATTGTCAATGGGAACCAACTTTTGTCAGCGATTCGCATTTGTGACAACTTTATGAAAACAGGGTTATTGACTCTACATTGAAGTTGGCCACAAATAACCAAATTCTCAAATCTTTTACAAATATGTAGAAGTTCAATTTAAAGAAAAATAGTAATATACACGGAAAATATTTTTTAAAAAATTAATCTTTTTCAGAACTTCTGGATTTTAAATACTCTTTATATATCTTTATAAATGACTTCTATGGCTCTTTCGATACATTTCCGTCTGAAATCATTTCGAGCATTTTTTCATTGTTATTATTTCATATTTTCCAAAAGTTACACGTTATATGCATATAATGCCTGTTGACTGGGTGAACTTAACCCTCAACCCAGGGTATTACCATCTTCGATCTGTGCATTTATGGCTGTCTTCGTTTCGGGATTTTGCATTTTGCAACCAAAATTGAAATGGATGACAAGGCAGCTGGTCATTTGCCTCTAAGCGCTGCTTTCAACGCGTTAACGCGCTTCGCAAACACGCAGAAAGAGATGGCCAACTAAGGGGCTGAGTTGAAATGGGGGCGTGGCACATCGGACCTGCAGTGGCAGCTTATGGCAGATGGCGGCCCTCTTATGTGGCCACTTTCGGCGTTGGTGTTTGCCGTTTGACGGCCATCCAATGTGCAATGTGCAATCATCAATCAGCGGGTCACGCAGATTTATGGCCATTTTCGCAGCAGAAAAGTAAACCTCTTTTTGAGGGCAGGATGGCTCGGAAATGGACAAACAAAATTGCATAGACAACTAAGCAGCAAATGTCATCAAAGCGGAGGTGGATTTAGGCACTTAATGCAAAAAAGTATATCAAAGGGTCTATAACCTTTTCGAAACCAAGTTTTCCCTACTTTAACAGAAATAAATATTGTGTTTTTTTAGGATAGCCAAAATAAAGTTGTGAAACAAATATCCAGCAAATAAATATTTTTTGCGAACTTATCATATTTGATTAAATGATTTATTTTAAAAAATGGGAAATATTAGAACACTTTATAATTGGTTCAAAGACTTTCAAAAAGCAAGTTAAGTTTTAATAACTTAGCTAAAGTATTATTGTTGATCTGTTGGCATGCATTATAAAAACTTAAATGATCTAATTTAAATATAACACTTGCTAGCTCAGCATTTATCTTTCTCTCCTCTTTGGGATAAAATTTGGCAAGCAGCGACTTCAATCTCGACTCCTTCAGTGTTTCCCCCTTTGCGAAATTTATTTGCCAATATATGTTAAGCTGAAATTTGGCAACAGTGCCACTTGGTCCAGACCCTTGTTGGCCTTTCACTCCGATCCATTTGTTTACTTCTGCCGCTTGTTGTTCTCGGATGGCTTTGGTAATAAACTTGAATTTTATTGTCCAACAAGAATGTTGCAATATGCTTGGCCATAATTTCAACGTCCTGCACATTGTTGCCAAAGCCGAAGGACCTCGCACGCTCTCCTTTTCCGTTTTTATTCTCCTGTCCAGTCCAAATTTTGTGGTTTGAGCTTAACGTCTCTTCTGATTGCTCTTGTCCTTGTTTCTGCCTTTTCTTCAGCGGCTCCTTTTAACTTTTATATTATGCAACCGCCGAGAAAGAGGAGGGCTGCAGATACCACAAACAAGAAACTAAAATAACATTTTTGCTCGACTGAAAAGTTATCATTTTATAAGCTCGCAAAACTAACAATTTAATGCCCTTTTTTCATTGTTACCCGTTTTTATTGTTTTTGTTACCTGAATGCGGAAGGAAGTTCTCAGTTTGCCAATTGACAACATTGTTTATGAGGTGTGTCACTTTAAAATCGGATGTCGGTAAGAAAAATAATAAGCTTAAAAGTGCATTTTTTTTGGCACTTTTCTGCCAAAAAAATGACCCAAAAATAAAAACTGAATTGAAAACACAGATGTTTCGAGAATTAAGCCACAATCATTTTGAGGTATGCCACTTTAAAATCGGATGTCTGTAAGAAAAGATATGGGTTTAGAAGTTCAGTTTTTTCGTCACTTTTCTGCAAACCCATTTTTCGTAAATTTGGAAAGGGGTAACATCATTGAAAATGACGAAAAATCGACAAAAAAAAAAAAGTTAAGTAAAAACACAGATTTTTTGAGAATCAAACCACGATCATTTGGAAGTATGCCACTTTAAAATCCGATGTCTGTAGAAAAAGTTATGGGCTTAGAAGTGCCGTTTTTTGACACTTTTGTGCAAACGTATTTTTTGAAAATTGGTACATAATTGAAAATGACCCAAAATCGACCCAAAAATACAAACCAAGATTTGAACACAGATTTTTTGAGAATTGAACCACAATCATTTTGAGATAAGCCACTTTGAAATCGGATGTCTGTAAGAAAAGTTATGGGCTTAGAAGGGCAGGTTTTAGGTCAATTTTCTGCAAACACATTTTTCGAAAATTTGGTTTGATTTAATTTGATCATTAAAAATGACTAAAACTCGGCCAAAGAAAAAAAAACCAAAGTGAAAACACAGATTTTTAGAGTATTAAACCACAATAATTTTGAGGTATGCCACTTTGAAATCGGATGTGTGTAAGAAAAGTTATGAGCCTAGAAGTGCAGATTTTAGGTCGTTTTTCTGCAAACCCAGTTAAACGGCAAATAAAATGCCTTTTCAACATCGGGTATCTGTAGCAAAAGTTTTGGGCAGAAACATAATTGAAAGGTTAGGTCATTTTTTTACAGAATTAAACCTATGACAAACAAATGGTATAATTTCAATAGTACCAAATTCTTAAAACAAAAATACAAAGGGGAAATTTCAGTTGCGCTTTTTTTCTGCCATATTAAACGAAAGGGCAAAATGTATAAATAAATTGCACTCGCTTTGGTATTTTTGATGGGCGGAGGGAGAGGGGTAAGCAAGTAAGTTGTGTCCAGACGATTTCAAGTTTAGTGCAACTAATTTAAAATTTATGATGCACTTGAATTGCAGCTGGCAAAAAGTTGAAAAGTCAACTGAAATGGTGGAAAGACGGTAAAAGGGTGCCGAAACTCATACGACAAAGGCAAAATGCGAAATGGGAAATGGAAAATGCATAAAACAGAAATAAAATATTCATTGCATACTTTTAGCCATGGAGTTATGCATTTTGTTGTATTTTTTCTTTTCCATATTTTGTACAATTTTTTTGCTGTACTTTTTACTGCTGGTTCGACTGCTCGGAAATTGGCAATTAAATATTGAAAGAGTCGAGCACAATAATTTTAATAATACCATTTGGGCTCCCTAATGGAGCTCTACGCATAAAGAACTGGTTAGTGTTTGATTGGAAACTTTATTGATGGCTAAACACATTTAGCCATTTATAAAATTTTTTATTTGCAGACTAAATTTATTGAATTAAACAAAAAGGGAACAATAATATAAAATTCTATAAAACGTATATTTATTCGATATTGTTTAGTTTTATCTTACACTATTGTTTTCCTTTTAGCAGTATTTTTTAATAAAAAAAATTTACCTTGAAAGTGAACAGCCAACTTGACCTTTGACCTAACAGTGAACACCCCAAAAATGATGAAGCAGGTTAGCTGCTCGTTCATTATTCATGGGGCAAAAATCATTGAAGTAAAATGAATTTATGTCAGGCTCAGATGAAAGCAATACCAGAACCCACTGGGGAACTTCTACGAGGGGGTTAGTTCACATTTGACTAATACATAATTCATATAGTTTTTGCATTAGGCGGGCGCCTCTTGGCCAAATGCCTAATGACTTAATTAGGCTAATAATGAGTAAGGGCCACGAGATGAGTTTCGCTCTCGTTTTCCGCAACCACATGTGTCAGCCGAAATAACTCCACTATCCCCGGGAAAATGGGTGGAAAAATGTCCTGGCCATTCGATGGAAACTCGAGTGTTTTTGTCTGTGTGTGTGTGAGTGTGGATGATAATTGCGTGGGACGTCGTAAAAATGTTCTAACGGTGGTTCTCATAAATCATAATTAAGCACAAGACGTGGGGGAATCACCCCCGCAGTAATTAATGTTGGTGTGTTGCTTTTTACTTATTAACTCATTTGAGCTAATCATCAGACATCCCCCAGCGACCCACTTTGGGAAGTTGTCTGGACCTCCGCTTCACTGTACCTAACTCAGCTTACTTCACTCACCTTTTCACGCAGCATATCGCGTATACGCCCCGCCTGATTCTTGGACCGATGCAGCTCCAGTTGCAACTCCAGACATCGTTCCTGCCAATTAATCTGCAGGTGAAAAAGACACGAGGTCAGAGAGGGGTTAAAAGAAGGTTGACCTTGAAGGGGTTACATATTTTTTAAGCGGCTGATTAACAAGTTTTTTAACTGTTGCACGAGATCAATTGTTAAAATGTATATCAACATTTATCTAGTATAACTTCACATTTACATGCAGTTAGCAACGTTCACCAAAACTCAATAACAAATTTCAGCACCACATTTCAAAAAAAAAAAAAATCCCAGTTAGACATGAACATATATTTAACATCTTCATTTTACTGTCCACATAAAACATCTGATCATCATCCTAATCAAAGGTATTCCAACTATCGTTTGTTCGAAATTCCATGTTATCTTGGAAGCTTCAAAAAGGGAACATCTTTATAACTACATTAACTTAATAAGGAAATCTCACCTCCGGAAGTGCCTGCCCGTAGTTGTTCACCTGGTGGACGTCCAGGTGTTCGGTGAGCGTCGAGAAGTGGGGCCATGGAGCATCCGGTGCATCCAGAGCTGCCAGCACGGGATTCACATTGGACTGAACCATGGTACTCGTATCCCTTGGCGGCGGGTCCCTTGGCTGTTGTTGTTGCTCCGCCTTCACCTGGCTTGGCTTGGCCGGAATAGGCGGTGGGCGTGGCACGCGGCGGGGCAACAGCCTCGGACTGTTGGGCGTCGATGCAGTGGCCCCTGCTCCAGATCCTGCTCCTCCGGTGGCAAAACGACCCTGAGCGAGCGGCAATGGTCCACTGAATGAGGTCGCCCTCTTGGCCAAAAGCGGTGATCCCTGGAGCGATTGTGAGCCCGAAAGACAGCCACGCCCCCCGGCCAACTGGGTGGGCAGCGAGGGCGGTTGGCTGTGCTGCTGCAGGTGGTGCAGCTGGTGATGCTGCTGCTGATGGTAGTGGTACAGATGCGATGGAAAGGTGTGCAGGTAGCCACTGCTGGCGCCATCTTGCGGCCTCAGGAAATAATTGTGGGCGTGGCTGTAGTATTGTAGTGTGTTTAGAGGGCTGGCCACGCCCAAAGAAGGCGTGGCCCGCCCTGAAGTCGAGGCGGAAGCACTGGGCGATGGCGATGGCGACGAGGAGGCGGATCTCCTTCGCTGCTCCGTTGGCGCCTGCTGCGGATGTGGATGCGGATGCGGATGCAGTGGCTCCTGGGAACGCAGGTGCTGTTGCTGCTGGAGATTGGTTAGCGTATCGAAGATTTGCGATAGGCGACCCAAAGGCACTTCGTCAGACATTGACGCGGTAGCTAAAAAGGATACAAACAATAAATATATATACATTTTATAAATTGGGATTTACATTTAAGCTAAAATATAAAAAACATAAGCTTCTTACAGACAGGTTTTTTTCCCTGCGGCGCTTTAAACAGAGCAATTTTAAATATTTTGTATTTGTTTATACAAACACATTATAATGAGAGTAATTAGCTTTTTAAGATAAACTTTATATGATTTGTGTCACGACTTCGCACAGTGATCATTAAGATGACATGAATTATCATTAAGGTGACATGAATTAGGATTATTAAGATGACAGGAATTATAAAATGTCAGACATGTACATTTAAAATCCAGCCTACCAAGTCCAATCCCAAAAAGTGATTAAAAATCACAGTGAATGTGCTTTCTATTTCCATGCGATCTAGTGTGCCTGGAGTCGGGTTGTCAAAGGTCGTAGCCTGGGTTAGCCCCATAAGTTCAGTAGTGTCTGTAACACCGCCTCAGACAAACCTTTGGAAATTTACGTGGGTTTTTCTAATTTTTCCCACATTTTTTTTTTGGAAACTTTTCGGTTTTTACCCAAATTTATTATTCAATAATTCCTTAGAGGATGGCGAATCCCAAGTCGAGCAGCGGTAATAAGTCAAAGGGCAAAGGTCATCACAACCGGCAGCAGCAGTCGCAACCGCAACAGCAGCAAGTGGACTCTTCGCAGCAATCGCAGTTGACACCATCACCTGTGGCCGCCTCTGGATTGGACCCGCCCACCGCCACGCCCATGGTCTCGCGTCCTTCGGAGGACACTTTGGCCTTGGCGGCTGCCGTCGCCGCCTCGATCCCAGCCGCCCCCCTTGCTCGACCCGTTCCCGATCGCCGCCCCTCCACGCCGGCGGTGGTGACCCCGACCGACAACAGCTCGGCCCTGGAGACCCCCGAAAATCTGGCCACATCGCGAACAGCGTCAGCGGCAGCTGCTCCCTCGGAAAATAGACGCGGCATCTTTCATCGTCTCTTCGGCTGGAACTCGTGATGGATAACCCTTCTAGATGAATCAAAATCCTAAAAAAAAATAAAAACCAAAACCACCCAATATGATCTAAATTTAACTGTACAAAATTTTTATTTAACCGATAAATAAAAAACATGGAATAAAGCCTTGCAGCTATAAAACAAAGGAAATAAAATCTCGTCGAATGTCAAAAATATCCAACTGTAACCATAGATTATAAAAGGTAAAATTACAGATTTCAAAGGATTGCTTCGAGAATTAGCACATATTAGTGTGAAATGATAGGAACTCTGCAAACCGAAAGGTCATAAAAAAACCAAATGAAACAACTTATAATAATTATATATGACAGTGCACACTAAAATTAGTTGTAAGTTTTTTAAAGCCAAATAATAATGTTGCACATAAGTTAAAAAACAAAATATAAAATAAAATAAAAAGTCGCATGCTTTGTATAGAATTATGTTATTAGAACTAGCCCTGCGTTTACACATTTTATTATTTATATGTGCTTTTGTAAGAATTAAGTTTTAATTGAAAATCTAAAATGTAGAACCTTTTGGCTTCTTGTTACCTAACGATAGATTTCTATTTCTGACCGTTCCTAACGCTGCACAAACAATGGTGGGCAATCTATCAATGCGCCAATCTGGCAATTGGTTTGTGCATTACCAGATCCCAGTCAACATTTACACCTTTATATACGTGCCCAAGTGAGGAAATCAATGCGAGCAGACGCAAAAGTGAGGAAAAAGCGATGGGGCATAACGAGAACGAGTGACACCAGCAGACTGACTTTCCCAGTGGAAAATGGACAGTGGACAATGGACGGTGGACACCATAAAGCTCGAGAGCTGGAAACCTGACCAACAGGTGCGCGAATCTGGGGCATCAATTGCCACTACGTGTGCGCAATGCTTAATCAACGGACAGGAAGGAGCGGCATTTGGCTGGCCAAGAGTCAAAGGAAAAGGGCAGTTGGAAAATTGAATATGCCACTAAATTATAGACAGCAGACTTGACATTCTGAAGTTGCAGCCGGAATGCCGGAGACTCTTTCAACTTTTGTGGTCCGTGAAATGCTGGCATTTCCCGCTTTCCCAGCTTTCCCAGCTTTTCCTCCCTGCACCTCCGCAGCATTGTGGGGACTTTCTTTGCTGTGAAATTTTTGTGGCTAAAAGCCTTCAGCTGCAAACTCTCCGGACTAAAGTCCATTTCCATGGCTTCGGCTTCGGCTTCAACTCCTTCGCCATTTCTCTGGAGCTGTGACTGCGGTCGAAGGGACAGGGACCCAAGCCAGACCCATTCATAAGAATTATATTCCAATTTTGTGCAGAGCACTGCACTCTATTCTGTATGAAGTACATGTGTAGCTCTTGTGTGTGTGCGCTCACTTCATTTTGCAAATTTTGATTTAATTCGAGTTGATTGAAATTCAAATTCAGTTTTTGATTTGACAAAATGTGTCCTGCTCTCCACTTCAGGCCACTTTAGGGGTAACCTCTTCCTTACTGCTCTCGATTATAAGTGCACTTTACAGCAAATTGTTTCTAATTTGTTCGGGCTTGTGTGAAAATTGGCAACAATGTTCGAGACTCTTCCGGAACTTTCCGCTTGAAGGGAGCCGGAAATGTTCACAAACCACTTGATTAGCCGGTGAAATTCGACAACAGCGCATATTTCACAATAGTGCATTATTTGGGTGCATCCATGTGAATTTTCCAACACAGAATGCTTTTGAAGTCTGGTAACATTCGTAAGAAAACTAGAAAAAAAAAAAATATTAGCGTTTATTCAATATTTTAAAAGCTTTGGCCAAACATTCGGAACACGACAATAAAATCAAAGTAACCATTCCACTCATACTTGAATTGGTCCAAATAGTAAACAGAGTTTAAAACTATAACTCAGCTTTATTAGAAAAATTTGACTACATTGCGTGCGCGTGACTGTACGTCCTAATGGAACCTGCCATCTGGCGGGTTTAACGAACTCATTACACGGCATTAGCCAGGAAACTGAAGTTCGGTCAGGTTGGCAGGCCTAAAAGTCATAAGCATAAGCGGCTTAGCAGAGCTTGCTTTGCATAAGCATATGGTAACTGTATACGGTAACTGGTAGCTGGTGACTTGGTAGTGAATATCTTTGTTTACCACTCGGCTTAATACGAACTTGGCCAATACATGAACAGGAAACGGAAATGGGAGGGGACGGAGGGATGCGGAGACTGCAACTGAGATACAGTTGAACAACTGCCGGATACCGACACTACGCCTCAACTTCGGGTTAACTTATCTTGGCTAAGTGCAGTATTGCAGCTCCTCGGGGCGCAAAAGGGGATTTTTGGTGTGTTAGACAAATCCAACTGCATTGTCTTGTGTTTGCTCTTCGCTTGGCTCCCTAATGGGGGCATACAGAGGAAACCGAATATAAGAATGGCGACATGAAATGGAAAACTCACTCAAATAGTTGGCAAAACTTGTTCACAGCTCCAATGAAGTGCAGAGCTGCAAAAGGGGCAGACACAAAGACAGAGCGAAGCAAAACAAATTTCTAAAAACCCCAGACGACAGTTAAGCTCCCTTCCTTGGGGTTTCCACATTCTGCAGTTCCGGTTCCTCTTTAGCTTTCGCAAATATTAGACAATGTATTTATGTATTATCAACAGTGCAAGGGAAAATCCCTTAAAGAATATGCTAGCAACATCTAGAAAAACCAATTTGTACTTGCATTCTCATGTCTTTTGAGAGAACGTGTTCAAGTTAGATCTTATTTTCTTTAAATACATTTACATAAAAGAAATAAATTACAAGATTTTGATAAGAAAAAAAAACCAAATAAACACCACCGAGAAAAAAATGCTTCTTTTGAAATAACTAAAATGCCGGGGTTTTAAAATATAACCAAACATATATAAACTCTTTTTAATTTTCCATATCCCGCATTTTCTTTAATTACTTAACTACCTCTTGAGCTTCAAAATACAGTCTCGGTTTCGAAAGGAAAATATGTGGAAAGTATCGTAAACTACCAAATAAATTTTTTTGAAGATTTTCCACCAGACACCGCCCGATACAGCCTGCAGAATGTAAAGTTGTAAAATTAATACAACATAAAATTTCAAACAAGCCCGCACACACCCATTGGGTCCAAAATAATTTCCCAGCATGACAACATACCTTTGACACCCTGCGTGTTTTTGTAGTAGCCACCCCCTCCCCTCTGCCTTTGTTGTGGCACTTGAAAAATTTAATAAACGCTGCAGCATCGTTCGCATGCCAATAATTTCAGAACACTCCTGCAACCCTACAACCATGCAACTCCCTTTATTCCCCCGTCCATCGTAATGCGTCGTCAATTTGAAAAACATTGTCAATGCATGTGGGTAAAAGAGGAGAACGAACTGTTGGTGTGAGATAACTACTAAGCGTCATATTAACAACATTGTAACATGCATGGAGGGGGTATAAACAGACACAGTAACCCCATCACACCCAACACCACCCCACGTTTACTTCCCTGCTGCTCCCTTGTGAGTCCTTGTATTCCTTTTCTTTTCCCATTTCTCACTATATGTTTTATTCTTTTTGTTTTTAGAAGCGGGAGTCGCTATTACGATCCCAGTGGTATAGGGTCTCAAGATAATTTTTTTTATTCTGACTAAAGCCAGCATTTATATGCTCAAATTAAATGTTCACATGGTTACACTTCGAGTGTTAAACTGTACTTTGGTCACACTTCGTGTGTATGACTGTACTTTGCGATAGAACTTTCGACTTACGGCGTCTTTTGAAACCGAGGAACTAAATGTTTTTGGCTAGGGTATTACGCATTTGGACACCTTTAGCGCGTCTTTTTTCCCCTTTTTTATAACCACTCCCGCAAGTATTTTATGCTTTGCTTTCTTTTCCCTCTTTTCATTCAACTATTTTTCACTCAATTCCAACGAAAAATTTATAATAAATGCCCGCGCACATGTGATGTCGCGCATTTTAATTGGTCTTTGCCACAATAACTCCGAAAGGGGGTTTTACGGGGGCAGAGAGCTATAGAACCCAGACAAACCGTGCTGTAAGCCCAGTCCACACACATCGGCTATACTCGTATATGCAATGTATATGTATTTCTAGCGAGGGTAGGGGGCCCTAACTCTTGGGTGCGACTGTCGTCTTTTCTCCTCGTTTTGTTTTTCGCGGTTTCTCCTTGTAAAACGGTTGTCATTCTGCAGTTGTTGTTTATGCTAGTTGGTAAGCACTTTTAAAAGGGGTTTCGGGTGTCGGGGGTGCCCCACCATGACCTACGTGTCAGGCAAAGAGACTTACAACAAAGCACCGACTTGCGACTAACGACTTGGGGTCTAGATCAACTGGATATATCTTCGCCCATATGTGTAATTCGCTTCTTTTCCAGTATGAGAAGGTGTACAGTTCGAAATAATAGCACCATTACGGACGAGAACATAAGCTTAAATAAAAAAATAAAAGAAAATGTGACTTTGTTTAATAACGATTTATTTAAGGATCCTGGAATAATTTATATATTGTTGGGCAGGTCGATAAAAAACATTTGTTCTACGACTTTTTGTAAAACTTAATGGGGAATTCAGCTTTAAAAACATTCTATTTAAAAAGTGTATTTATTTAGTCGAATATTTAATAATTTTTCCTTACAAAATTTTTTATCACCATTTTTTTTACCTCGTTAAAAGTTTTTTGTTTGATTCAAAAGCAAGCAGCATGTTGCCGAACTGGTTATGTTTTAAAAAGTCGTTATGATTACTTCTTTTTTTAAATGATTGATTAGTTCAACAAATTCAACAAACATATTTGAATGCTTCCAAAGTAATAATCTATTTTAATTTAACCAATTTGTTGTATCTTGAGTAAGAATAATACTCCAAAATTTCCAAACTAAACTTTAAACTTTAAGCAAACCAAACTATACTCTGTGCTATTTTATCACTCAAGCTCTAAAAGTGCGGCTCCCAAACAAACCGTTAACTGTTGGACAAACTCTTAACCAGATACTGGTCATCGAGACAGACAAAAACAATCCTACCAACTTTAAAACAACCAAATAAAAGCAACAAAAAAAAAAACAAGCAAAACGAAAAAAACAACAAAAAGCGGAAAAAATAAGAAAAACAAACCGGTTCGCCACCCGC